AAAAAAAAAAACAAAATTGAAAAACATGGCTCAGTGCCTGTGGCTCAAGCCACTAAGGTGCCAGCCACATACACCTGAGTTAGCAGGTTCGAACCCAGCCCAAGCTTGCCAAAAAACAAAGACGGCTACAACCAAAAAATAGCCAGGCGCTGTGGCAGGTGCCTGTAGTCCCAGCTACCTGGGAGGCTAAGGCAAGAGTATCACTTAAGCCCAAGAGTTGGAAGTTGCTGTGAGCTGTGATGCCATAGCACTCTACCCAGGGAGACAACTTGAGGCTCTGTCTTGGAAAAGAAAAGAAAAGAAAAACACCTGTAATCCTAGCACCCTGGGAAACTGAGGCTGGAGGATTGTTTGAGGTCAGGAGTTTGAAAGCAGAGCATGACCTCATCTCTACTAGAAAACATAAAAAATTAGCCAGGTGAGGTGCACATCTGTAGTTCCAACTACTTTGTAGGCTGAGGTAGGAAGATCACTTAAGCCCAGGAGTTTGAGGCTGCTTTGAGCTATAACACCACTGTACTCCAGCCCAGGCTACAGAGCAAGACCCTGTCTCAAAAGAAAAGAAAGAAAGGGAAAGGGGAGCAAAGTAAAGTAAGAAATAGGAAACAAAAGAAAAAATGAGCCAGGTACAGTGGCTCATACCTGTAATCCCACCGCTTTGGGAGGCTGAAGCAGCCTGGGCAATACAGCAAGATCCTGCCTCCACCAAAAAAAATATGAAAAAACTAGGCAGGCACAGTAGCTCATGGTTTAGTCATAGCTGTTCTACTCAGGAAGGTGAAGGAGGAGGATTGCTTAAGCCTGCAATGGGCTACAATTCCACCATTGTGTGTGTATATGTGTGTACACCAGGGTCTTTATTGTCCAATGGTGGAATTGGACATTTCCAATTGTAGCCCATTGCAGGCTTAAGCAATCCTCCTCCTTCACCTTTCTGAGTAGAACAGCTAGGACTAAAACATGAGCTACTGTCCTGGCCAGTTTTTCATATTTTTATGTGTATATATAAAATCAAAAGTATTCTGATTAAAGTTCAATATTACTGAGTGTCAATCATGTAATACATTAAAATACCCTCAACAAACACATATGAATAGGATTATTTGCTCCCAAGTAGTCTCTTCAATATTTGTACATAAATTCTGTGTACTTTTGGTTTTATTCTGTGCCTTTCTTTTTTAAGCTATCATCATCTGAAACTTCCCAGTGCTTCCCTAGCAGTTATGTCTGAAACTACAGTGTGTGCTAAGAAGATACCCTATAGCCAATATCACTGTCACCACCACCCTACAAAGTGAATGAAAAACCTGATATCCAGAGATTAAATAACCCGTTCTTGCCTGACTTCAATGTTTATATACTCTTTTCGTGAAAAACAGTTCTACCTCTCATCAATCATTTTTAGCTCACGGACTTACCAGAAGTAAATTCAAAGGTTAGTTAGGTATCTACCCCACCCTATCCCCCTCAAAAATAAATGAACTGGTAACTATTTAATGCTATACTGCAAAATGGTGACCATTAGTATTTTAAGTCCAAACAATCAGTACAAACCAAGTAAACTGAAAATTAATTATAAAACCTTCAAAACTTAGAAATATACTTGTAAGTACAAACAAGGTATAATATTAAAGTTTTTATTTGTATCATAACGATGTTCACAAACTTCCAATATAATCTTATTTAAAGTGTCTTCCCATCACAACATTTTTACATACCAATTCAACAGTACAAATACCTGTGTATCTCAGGGCTCTTTTGCCGGGTACTATGTTCTTCACTGGCTTTCTGATACGAGGTGAATCGCTCGTTTAGGGTCATTGCAGATGATTTGAAGTATTGCTCTGTTGATTTAGGAGAAATACTGCCCAATTAGTTACCTTTACTTTAAGAAAGATTTTTCATTTGTGACAGAAGGGCATGTAGCAGGTGAAAAAAAAAAAAATAAAAATACTCAAGAAACCTAGCAGAAGAGAGTCAAGTATTACAAAGAACTCCTACACTTTCTCTTTTAACTAACTTCCTGTACCCGGTAGTTAGCAGGTAGTTCCCAGGTAAGGGACTGCAAATTCCTCATAGGTCTGTGTCAATACTACAGATAATCCAAGAATGATTAATAGAATACATCAACAGTCACTAATTTTATTCCACTAATGTACAACTTTCTCAAACAGAACAAAAAGGAAACAAAGTATGTGGATATCTTTGTACCTTGCTAATATGAACCAATGACATTACTTCAAGTAATCGTTTGCAGAAAACAAAAATTAACAGACAAATATGGAACTACAAAGCTGGTCTGAATAAACTAGTTAGTCTCATTGAGGACTATGCTGACATATCAACAGAAATGGATTTAAAAAAAAAAACTGAATACTGTCATTCAACTGAACAAAATTATTTTGAAATCCATTAACATTCACTATTCCAAAAATCTGGCATCTTGGCAAACCTGACAGTATTTGCTATTTTTGTCTTGTTTTTCTTTAAACAATTTTAAAATTAGTAATATCAATACTGTTTAGTTTTTAAACCAGTTCTGATATGCTGTAAATGTAAAGTAGACGTATAAAGTCATGAGCTATGAAATGTTACATTATGAAGCAAGCTATCTGCTTAACAGGTCAACATACATCTGTGTCAACTTACCGCCCAATATCCAGCACATGTCTCATAACCAATCATTAAAACTTGAAACGGCCACTACAAGGGTAGTGCCTCAATCATAATTCCATGAAACCCAGGAATTTGAGCTAGCAACTCAGTTTTTATGCCATTTTTGCCAGGAAGACAGAAGATTCAACTTTGCCTGTATCTTTCAACAGCTATTTTACTTTGAAACATGGATTTTGCCATTTCAAAACATATTCCAGGACCTAGTTACAATGAAAAAGAAAACATCACTGGGCATTTTCAGCTCTATATAAAGAAAGAGCTGTTCAGATCGGTTGCATAATACCAATTATGAAACATAACTACAGTTCTTTTAAAAAAGGAAAAAAAATGAAAAATGAAAAAATGTAGCAAAACCTGATCTCAAAATTCAGCAATAAATTGTAAAATGTGGAGACAGGTCAAAAAAAGGTGAAAAATTTAAAAATTGTTAACGTATCCCATTTTATGTACCACAATAGTATGGTAGTAAACTGGTTCACAAATCTACTTACAACCAACTAGCAAAACTCTTTTGTTATCATATTTAAATAATTACAGCCAAAAAGAAATCCGTTAACTATTCACTGTTTTGATAAGCGCACAAAGAACTGCTGGTGACTGGTTTATTAAATGAGTTGTTTTCATGTCAAAAAACAAATTTTTCAAAGGGAAGGAAGAAGCTTTTAAGACCAATAGCCATGGAGGTTCCTGGGAAAGAACCTGTTCCATAGTAAGCTGCCTTTTAAACACAAAATTATGAAAACAAAACTTTATCTAACTGCCCAAAAAGTCATACTCTAAAACCTTTGAAAATTACTAGAGATTTTCAAAGTACAGTTATATATTGGTGAAAAATAAAAAAATCACTACTTTAGTTAAAATGAACATCCTTATCTTTAGGACCTAAAGAATTATTATAATTATTATCCTAATTAGTTACTACCCATGTAATCACTAATATACTTTTAAGCTTCTTGGACTCTTTCCCCTTTAAAAATCCTAACTAAATTCTCTTCTGGTTTAGTCAACACCACTTGGAAATTTGATAGCAAATGTAGCCCAAGAAGAAAGTTAATAAATATGGCTTTCCACTAGTTTCACATTTCTTTTAAAGTTGGAAAAAAACTCTTAGTAAATAATATCCAGTAACATTATTTCCTCACTTTGTTATAAATCTATGCCAAGAGTACAATTATCCACAAGTTATAGCCATGCAACAAAAGATTATCTGCAAGCATCCTGCACTTCAAATACACTATGATGACATATTTTCAAAACACTTTCAGCATTAAATAAATCTACATCATGCTTTATCATGATACAGATTTGTAGAGTACATTTTAACTAGCATTTTTATCACTTTTTTGTATTAAGTCATTTGTACATAGATCATAAATAATTTTGATCACTTTTACCAAATAGCTCAATGGGTCTCAATTCTACCACAACTGGAATCCTTCACAAAACACTACTTTTCCAAATTTTTAATTGATACATACCTACTAACCCTGAGGTACACTACTTATTAAGCATAAGTAATCATTTTTTTATTTGCAAACAAGAGAAATTTAATTCACAATACTAAACATACTAAGCATACCTTTAACGTGATGAACCAAGGACACAATGTGTTGAATAAATGACTCTGAAGTGCTTTTGCTGGCCTGTGGCAACTTTATGTGGTCAAAGATGGATCGGAATTCTTGCTCCTTCTTGACAGAATGGACAAGTGTACTAGCAAGTAGCCTGTCTTTAGTCAAGGAAGCAGGTCTGGAACATATCGATAACACACACACAAACAAAATATACCACTGGTTTGAATATGAAAATGGTATGTTCAGAAAATAAAATAATTAACTAGAATATTAACTACCCATAGATTATTTAAGGTATCAAGATGGAATTACCTGTTAGAATCATCTAGAGGAACAGGTGCCATTTTGAGTTTGACTTCAGGACGATGAGAATCACTAGCTATCATTTTGATCCTAAGTGGGCTCTCCTCTCTGAAGGTAGACTTTTCTCGTGCATCCAGATTCTTATGTAGAGGGGGACTGTAATCAAAGAGGTCTTTGAGCTTTTCAGACTTTACCTGCTCAGGTGACTGAGTTTCTTTCTTTACTGTTATTCTTTCAGAACTTTTGTCTTCTTCCTTGTGCTTATCTTTTGTAGTGCTAGGCCTTTCCACAACATATCCAGTCTCTTTAAGTTTGTAATTTTTTTCTTCTCTAAATCCATCACTTTCTCTATTGCCTTTCAGTGAAACTTTTGACTTGTACTTGAGTCCTTCCTCCTCTGTATTCCGGTGAGATGCAGTTGCAAAACTTTTACCCTGGTCTGCAAGAACTGACTTTCTGAACTGTCTATAATCCTCTGTCTCCTCTGTGTCATCCCCTTCTGAATCATTAAACTTTTGTTTTCCAGACTCTTTATCACTGAAGTAATCTAGAGCTTCCTGATCTTCCCATTCTCCCTCTGCCCTCCCTTTCTCTGATCCTTTCTCCTTTGGAGCCTCTTTATCCCTGGCATTACCCCTATCAAGCAGGAATACTCTAGACTCTTCATCTGTGAACCTGTGAATAAGCAAAGAAGAGGACAGTAACTCTGGATTGCATTCACTGTAGATCATTTGCATATTTAAATGTTACCCAATACCATGGAACCAGCAATGATTGAAAAAATAACACTACTGAAAAGTGCATTCTCAAGATTTCACTTTTAAAAATCATTGAAAACATCCATATAGGACTCCTACACTGATTTTTTAAAGTAAATTTACATATTATTTCCTAAAATTGAAAAGTAAAGCCATCCTCAGAAACCTGTCCTATTTCCAGTCTACAATTCAACACAAACAAATCCAAATTTCTAGTGGCAGCCTAAGTTTAATTTTTGAAACTAAAAACCATTAATAGATAATACATATAGATGTTAGAATTCTACTTATACTCAAAATTTCAAACTATTTCACTTATATCTTATCTATTATTAAGAGTTCGTAAGTACACTTCAAAAAATTACAAGTATTTAATACTCTTAATCTGAGTCACAAAATAGTTCATATATGCTTTGCTCTAGAAAATGATTTCTGGCAATACTAAGTAGAACTAAGTATCAGTTCAATAAATTCTAGGGTATACAGTGCTAAATCATAAATAGCCTTCTCACTCTACTGTCTCACTTAGTTTACGTAAATCACACTAATCAACCAATTTTCATTAAGTTTGTTAGCAACTCTCAGCAACAATTGAAGTCAGAATTCAAACAAATTATCTGTTTAAAATGTCAGTGAGAAATACCATTATCTTTTCTATAGCCAAGGAGAAATTATTAAATATAGACAGCGGGACAGTTTATAATGCCACACACAAGTAAGAAAGTGTAACATAAATACATTATTTCTTAGGTCACATTCTAATGGTGAAAAGAACAAAGTAAACTCTCAATGCTTTGACACACAATTTCTAAAAAAGTTCTCAGTTTTTAACAGTACATTAGTTAAGCATGAAACTATTTAATGTCTCATATTTTTAATTCTAGACTAAAAATAGATAAAATTAAAAGGATTATAAATTAGTTTTCATTAAAACATGCAGGTTCTAAAATGTACTAGATATGAGAATTTGGAATTACAACGAAGCAAAGTTATGAGTAAAACCAGTTGGCTAAATACATCGTACCACCACACAATTTCACATCTTCAAATTCCAAACAGGATTCGAAGACAATAAACTTCCAAATTTTATTTTTTACCTTTTTAAGAACTTTCCAGTCTTTGCAGTTTCCTGATCTCCACCATCAGGATAAAATGATGAACGTCCCCGTCCCTCATCTCTTGGCGCATTCTGTGGTGTGATTGTCTTTGCAGGACTTCTTCGTGAAGGGATGTGATGAATTGGACTATTCTGAGAAGGACTGTATCGACTAGATCCATTTCCAACAGAACCAGACCCAGATCTTTCAGGACTATGCTGAATGGAATGTGAATGCTGAGAGGGGGTATTTTTTGCAGAGTGTACTGTACTGAGCATAGGGGCATCAGAGCAAGATGAACTCTGACTTGGTGGTGTAGCAATAGGTGAAGGACTGTGTGGTGATCTGGGACTATTATCATAAGCTGAAAGGCCAGGCCAAATATCACCCGATGTGGCTGATGACTTATTAAACTCATCAATAGATTCAGATGGATCATGTTCAAATGTATCTTTCTGTTCCTCCTGTGATTTACTTTTCAAAGGACTCTCTTCTTGGGCTTCCCCTTCAGCTTTTTTGGTTTGTTTTTCCTGAGACCCTCGTCTTTTAGAGACAGGAGATTTGCTATATGGTGATGAAGAACGAGAAGAGGACGATCTTGGAGACCTAGAGGATCTGTATGACCGGCGAGATCTGCTTCGGGATCTTTGAGAAGAAACAGATCTTCTTTTTGGACTTCGGGAACGTGAACGACCTCGTCTAGGACTCCTAGAATGCCTTCTATTCCAGACAGGTCTATAACCACCTCGATGATATCTACCTCCTCCTCCTTGATAATACCCCCTACCTCTTCCTCTGTACCCATAAGGTCGTCTCATTCCTCTATTGTTTCTGTAATCTCGACGATAATCTCTAGAATACATACGATCTCTACTACGAGACCTTGAATATGTTCTGGAACGAGACCTAGAACTAAAAATGAAATAAATATCACTGCAAGAAAAATATTCTATCCTACTGTTCTAAATACTTCTGGATGAATATAACATGTAAATAAATTGTAACACAAAAATACACATTTTTCAAAAAATTCATTTGTAAAAAAAGTTTGCTGTTTCAAATCAAACAGCCCTAATGTAAATATTGAGAGAATAAAGGCCTAATGAAGAGACAAAAAATGAGAAAAAACTGTTCAATAACAATATTATTAGCAAAATACAGTACATCAATACAGCAACTTAAAAGCGACAGTATAAAATACTTAATGGCATACCATTATGTATAGATAAATGGGGGAAAAGTTTCCACTGTATCAGTCAGGTACCATTTATTAAATACATATAATACAAAGCTAGGCCTCAAAAAAAAATCATAAATAATATTAATCCCATTTCTTTTGGGGAGGAGGGGTAAAGACAGGTTTCCCTCATGCTGGAGTGCAGTGGTTAGATTCTTAGCTCACTGCAGCCTTGAACTCCTAGACTCAAACTATCCTCTTACCTCAGCCCTCCCAGTATCTGGGACTACATACAGACAAGGACTATCACTCCAGGCTATTTAAATTCTTAGTAAGATTACAGTCACTTTCATTTTCTTTTTCTTAAAACGGAGTCTCACTTTGTCACTTGGTAGAGCGTTATAGCGTCATAGCTCACAAGCAACCTCAAAGTCTTGGGCTTAAGTGATTATCTTGCCTCAGCCTCCTAAGTAGCTGGGACTACAGGTACCCGTCACAATGCCCAGCTACTTTTTTTTTTTTTTTTGAGACAGTCTCAAGCTGTCGCTCTCAATAGAGTGCTATAGCATCACAGCTCACAGCAATCTCAAACTCTTGGGCTTAAGCGATTCTCTTGCCTCAGCTTCCTAAGTAGCTGGGACTAGAGGCGCCTGCCACAACGCCTGGCTATTTTTTTCTGTTGTTGTCATTGCTGTTTAATAGGCACGGGCAGGGTGTGAACCTGCCAGCCTCGGTGTATGTAGCCAGCCCCCTAACCACTGAGCTTTGGGTACCAAGCCAACGCCTAGCTATTTTTAGAAACAGGGTCTCACTCTGGCTCAGGCTGGTCTCCAACTCTTAAGCTCAGGCAATCTACCCGCCTCCACCTCCCGGAATGCTAGAAGTACAGGGGTGAGCCACCATGCCTTACCTCACTTCCATTTTCAATTTACAGTGTCTATTTCTTATACTAAGTATTATTATGTGAAGAAAAATATCCAGGGCAGCACCTGTGGCTCAGTGAACAGGGTGCCGGCCCCATATACTGAGGATGGTGGGTTCAAACCTGGCCCCAGCCAAACTGCCATAAGTAAATAGCCAGGCGTTGCAGTGGGCGCCTGTAATTCCAGCTACTCGGGAGGCTGAGACAAGAGAATCACCTAAGCCCAAGAGCTGCAGGTTGCTGTGAGCTGTGCTGCCACAGCACTCTACCGAGGATGACAAAGTGAGACTCTGTCTCTTAAAAAAAAAGTAAAAAGAAAAATATCCAAAGTTAATCATTTTTAAACAAAAGCATGAAATTACTCTTTTGTTATAATCCAAAGAATCAGAGAACCTATAAAGTAATATGCAGAGATCATTTACTATTCAAGTACTTTTTATATTCATCAATTCCTCTCTTGACATTATGGATAAATACAAAGAAATCCACCATGTTTTACTAAAATCCAGAGGTAGATTAACTGTATTTCTTTTCTTTTTTTTTTTTTTTTTTTTTTTTTTGAGACAGAGCCTCAAGCTGTCCCCCTGGGTAGAGTGCTGTGGCCTCACAGCTCACAGCAACCTCCAACTCCTGGGCTCAAGCGAGTCTCCTGCCTCCGCCTCCCAAGTAGCTGGGACCACAGCTACTCGGCCACAACGCCCGGCTATTTTTTGGTTGCAGCCGTTATTGTTGTTTGGCAGGCCTGGGCTGGATTCAAACCTGCCACCTTAGGTGTATGTGGCTGGCGTCTTAGCCACTTGAGCCACAGGCACCAAGCCAATTAACTGTATTTCAATCCAAGATATGCTATTGATTAGTCTACAACTTGTACAATTCTCAATTCTCCAACTCTTAAAATGAGGATAATAAATCCATTTTACAGGGTTGGAGTTTTTGCTTTGTTTCTGAGACAGAGTCAGGGTCTCATTGGCACCCAGGTTGGGACACAGTGGCATTATCACACCTCACTGCAGCCTTGGAACTCCTGGGCTCAAGTAATCTTCCCACTCCAGCCTCCTGATTCTAGGCACCCAGCTAATTTTTTTTTTAATTTTTTTTAAAATTTTTTTGTAGACAGGGTCCTCCTATTCTGCCCAGGCTGTTTTCAAATGCCTGACCTCAAGCCCCAGCATCCCAAAGTGCTGGAATACAGGCATGAAGCACCTGCCCTGCCCTAGAGTCATAGGGGTTTTTAAGAATAAAATATATTAATGAGTTTAGCACTATGTCTGTATATGGCACTCAACAAATACAACCTGATATAATTATTAAAAGAATTAATAAAAGTATATTAATTCACCTGTATCGCTTCTTTCTAGAATGTGATCTTGATCTTGATCGAGAACTAGACTGTGATCTAGACTTTGATCTTGAAGAATGTGATCTAGAATTCGAGCGACCCATTTCCCTTCTCCTAGTCAAATGAAAAAGCAAAAAAGGTTAAAATCAGAATACAACTGAAGAAGTTTCACATTATATATCTGTTCTCAGGTACAAATTCAAAGTTTAAAGTTTCTCGAAGGATATTACACATCATTATCATTCTTTCAATTGAGTATTTAAAAAACAAGTCAATTATCCCTGACTAAAACTGTTTTCACCTGCATGACAGATTATACTGAAGACACAACAGAAGATTTCTATGGACTGCCCCACCTATGTGCCTCAATCCAAAAGGGCAGCAGCTGCAGAAGCCAGAAAGAGCAATGATATCAGACTGCAGCAGCATGTTAGATGTTATTCCATGCCCAATACAAATGCCTACCTCTCCTGTAAAAAAGATAAATAGTATCAGAGTATTACAGATAAGGAACCTGAAATAAAGAAAATACAAGTGGCACAATACTGAAGAAAAATAAACCTACCAGACTGTCATCATAGTGCTTTATGGCCTTGAAATGTGGCTAACCTGACCACTCCATATATACAATAGTGCCTGGAGTGGTTTCCTAGTAGAATAAATGTCACTAAGTCTCTGAACAGCTAGAGCCATGGCTCTGCTCTCAGTAGTCATGACTTCAGAGTAACAGTGGACTTATGTGATAATGCCTAGTTCACCCTGTAGCTTTCTGGTAAGAAGACAAAATGATACAAGATAAAGAAACTGGGAAGATTTCTGTAAGAGAGAGATGTTAGAACTACAAGAAAAAGAAAACTTGGGCACCAGCATTTTAACTTTTCTAAACACTATATGATATCTAGTGCTATAATCAGACCTCATTGGGTACAGAAATCAGTAACTGCTACGACTTATTTATCACACCTACTCTTCACAAAGTTGAAAAAATATACATACATAGCATATCATTGCATACATATCCCCAATGTCCTATTTTCAACTTTTCAATGATTTGTAGGCCTATACAGTCCTAGCTCCCAAGTTAATTTTTGCTACATGTTAACTATTTCCAAATTTCCATTCTTACTCAAAAAAGTAATCATTTCCATAAAAATCATCTTACTAAACTTGTAACAGCCTGCAATTTCCACATATTTAAACATTATCTCCTGCAACCAGATATCTTTGAAGGCACTTATTTTACCTACTCAGACTTTGTTCAGTATAATAAAACAGTCCTTGGAGATATAAACTGAATTACGAAAAAGGCAATAATAATGTCTGCATACTTCCTTCTCAAAGAACATAAATAACAAATTCAAGATATTTGAGATAAATATGTATTTCAAAATAAAACATAACTATTCTCTAAAAGACAGACTATCACCTTTGTCTTCTACTCTTACTCTTCTTCTCAATCCCAAGTGAGCAAGAAATACATAAAGACAGAAGTAAAATATAGGTTCAGGGTTCAAAAAGGTAGAGTAAGAATTCCACAACACATATGAAGTTAAGTTTAGTACTAACAGACTGAGATTTGATTGATACCTGGTAGAACACAAGACAGATTTCATTTAGCAAATTTTGTCATTTTATTTGACAACATAGTGCAATCAACAAAAATAACATTTACAGTCCATAAAATAAGGAACCTAGACTACTGGAAATTGACACTCTATAGCCATCTAATTTCAAAATACCACACCTCCCAAACTCATTAAAGAACATAAATATGTAATTTATATTCATTATAATCAAATTTATTCCAATAAATAAGATTTTTATCCCACTCTGAGATAATCAGACACAATATAACAAACAACAAACCAGAGCTACAAACATTGTAAAATCCCAGCAAAAGGCAAAATTCATTTTCATACTGTTAAATGAATGCATTGTCCAGAACTTGGATATTTTTTAAAGCAGCAAATTTATTTTTAAAGGTTTGAGTTTTGCTTTGTTATTGTTTTTTTGTTTTGCTTTTTGAGACAGAGCCTCAAGCTGTCCCCCTGGGTAGAGTGCTCACAGCAACCTCTAGCTCCTGGGCTCAAGCAATTCTCCTGCCTCTGCCTTCCAAGTAGCTGGCACTACAGGGACCCACCACAACACGCGGCTATTTTTTGGCTGCAGCTGTCGTTGTTTGGCAGGCCCAGGCTGGATTCGAACCTGCCAGCTCAAGTGTATGTGCCTGGCGCCCTAGTCGCCTGAGCCATAGGCGCTGCCAAACCTGAGTTTTGCTTTGTTAATATCCACATCTAAAACTTCAAAATGTGTGGTAAGAAAGTATACCTATCAATAGTTAGAATTTCAACAAATCTGGATGTTTTTTCTGCTCTCCTGCAGAAATATACTTGGGGAAAAAGCTAAGAATATGGCATTTAGACTACCGGGATTCAAATCCAGGAACTTCCTTAGTTATGTGACCTTGGGCAAATTCCTTAAACTCTCTGAGCCTCAGTTTCCTCAACCATAAAATGAAGTAAAAAGCAGTACCTATTCCATAGAATTGTACTAAATGAATTAACACACATAATTCACTTAACATAATGTTTGGCATATAATAAGCAATCAATCTCAATTACTTTAACACCAATATTATGTAACTCCTCTTATTTACAGAAGGAAGATGGGTTAAGTAGTAGAGATTTTGGTTTTGTTTTATTTTTAAATAGTTTTGTATGTCCTAAATGTTTTAGTAGATTATGTTTATAGAAGTAGAAGTGGATATAAAACCTAAAAGTAAGAAAAATAAAAAATCCTTCTCCTAAAACTAAACAGGATTTACTTCATACAAGCCAACAAAATAACAAAATAAAAGCTACAGATCACATCACTTTTAATTACTCCAACTAAATTATCATTTCAGTAGTCACATTTCTCAAATAAATCCAAACTGAAAGCTAGAAAAATGAATGCTATTTACCTTGAGTTTGTGCAGGATCAAGAAGTCAAGTGAAGTCCTTGAGAAACTGTAAAATCCTTCCTGAAGATAATGCTCTGGGAAATTAAACTCTAAATTCAAATTCCTAGCAAAGATAAAAAATATTGAGTTTAATTCATGCTAAATTAACTATGTACTATGTCCACTTTTAACATATTGGGCATAGCAATGAATGCTAATAATGACACTTACACTTTCAGGGAAAGGGAAGCTGAGATAGGAAACAGTAAACTTTTAATCATAAAAGCTTAAAACTGTGGCTCAAAAGGGTAGGGTATCGGCCCCATATGCCGGCGGTGGTGGGTTCAAACCCACCTCCAACCAAAAAAAAAAAAAAAAAAAAAAAAACAGCTTAAAATGGAACTTTTGGCCAGGCATGGTGGCTCATGCCTAAAAATCCTAGCACTCTAGAAGCCCCAGGACTGGAGCTCAGGAGCTGAAGACTAGCCTAAGCAAGAGAGAGACTGTCTCTACTAAAAACAGAGAGAAATCAACCAGGTGTTGTGGCACACATCACACCTCCAGCTACTCTAAAGGCTAAGGCAAGAGGAAGGCTTGAACCTTGAAGTGTGAGGTGCAGTGAGCTATAATGACTCCCTGCACTCTAGCCAGGGCAAGAGACTGTCTAAAAACAAAACTACTCAACTTTTTAAATCACAATGCAGTAATGCATCATCAACTGACATCATCTTAACTTTTTAAGACTTAGATGCTAATTTTAGCAATTTGAGGTTAAGAAAATATAGATATGCTGTCGTTTCATCAGAAAGTCCCAAGTAGCCAATGGCAAAATGTATGCCATTTTGGTATATTGAAACATATCGTGTGGCTAGGCTCTGTAGTTCAAGCCTGCAGTCCCAGCTATTTGGGAGACTGAGGCTACAGGATTTTTAGCCCAGGAGTTTGAAGCTGCAGTGTGCAATAATCCCACCTCTAAGTAGACAATACCTTCTATCTAGCAAGGACAACACAGTGAGACCCTCCCCCATCTCAGAAAAAGAAAAAAAAGTATGCTGTAATTAATATATTCATAATGATCTGACTTATATTAACATCTAACATCTAAGTGACACGTTCACTTTAATGCTCTGCTACTTATTCTCTCTTAGCACTTCCTTTCATATAATTTAGTTTCATTTAAAACTGATTTTTAAAATTCATGTGACTGCCATCACAATAACTCTAAACTTTGTGCCTAAAAGCATTTTGATACGTGTACTTGTCAAATAAAAGAACAGTCAGCAATGAAATAAATCATCCGGCTCAGCACCTGTGGCTCAAGCGACTAAGGCGCCAGCCATATACACCTAAGGTGGTGGGTTCGAATCCAGCCCAG